AGACTGCTGCCTCTCCGTGCAAGCGAGAGCGGGTCGTGGTAAGAATGGGTATTGATCGACCTGCACACTATTAGCGGCAATACATCAACAAGCACACCTTCAACATACATTGCAAACCCTCCGTAGGCACTCCCATCTTACAACCTGGAGAGGCGAAGCGTCGTTGCCTCGACTACTCTGGCCTTGACTCCGGATACGTCATTTGGACTTTTCGCGCGGGTAGCGGACGTTCCCTCACTCGACACGAGTGGAGACGCTACCTCGCAGTCAGCGAGGGCGCACAACCGTCAATCATCGTAGAATTCGTCTTCATCGTCGTCGACCTCGGCAAGCTGTTCAAAGTTGAGGGCATAACGCAGGATGGCACCGATACCACCAAAGCCCTTGACGAACTGGTTACCCTCGGAAGAACGGTCCGAGACGAATTCGAGGTTGGCACCAAAGTCGCGGTACTTCTCGGCAAGCCACTCGAGCATGGAACCCTGATCAATGACTTCCATCTCCTGTCCGGTTTCCTTGTCCATGAAGATGCTTCGGTCTTCTTCCTGGAGCTTTGTAGTGTGGAGGATGATCTCGGAACCGGCAGAGCTCTTGAGAACCCATCGAGTGATTTCCAAGTTTTCAAAGACAATCAGAGTCTCGGCCGCACCAGCCTCGAGGGCCTTCAAGGTATCGTCGATACCGTAGCAGACCTTTCCAGAGTCCTTGGAGATGTGGTCAAAGTACTCGTTGATGAGCTTCTTTTCTTGAATGAACTTGACGTTGCTGAGAGTCTCGCCTGCGAGTTCAATGGCCTGGTTGAAACCGTTTTCGCCTCCGTAGGACACGTCGACAACCTTGATGACCTTGGACTGCAGACGGTTGTCGAAGAGGTCGGACTGATTGAGGTCGTTCTTGAAGTCGGCAGAACCAGCGAGAATGATTCCGGCAACGTTGACTTTGTCGGCAGTGATGAAGTTCTGGACAGCCAGTTCGGCGACCTTACGGACGTAGTTATGACGCTTTTCTTCACGTAGACGGGCGAAACGCAGAGCGGATTGACCACCACGGCCGTGCTTCTTAGGAAGATCGACCGAGAATCTGGTGGCGTTAGTATGGCAACGTGGCAGGGGTTGTACGTCAGGCTCACTTGTGGACAATTTCACGCGTGTTTCCTGACAGAGTACCGAACAGGGCACCGTTTCCGTCCATGATGATGAAACCAAACTTTTGGTCAGATTCAAGCAGCTCGCTCAGGGCCTCGGTATGGAACTTGTTGTCACACAGGTACAGCGAGGTGTTGATGGGCTTGAAGGGCTCAAAGTCAATGTTGATCTTGCGCTCCTTGCCTTCAGCGGTGATGATTTCACCGCAGTAGACAACGAGACCATTTGGAGGGACCTTGGAGTAGAGCTTCAGACGCTGCTGGGTGGATGTGATGGCGGACAGGACAGAGAGACGGTTGACACGGGATTTGATGTTGGAGGCAGTGCCCTGAGCGCGCAAACGTTAGTCATTGGACATAAATCGCGCAAGATTAGGTGGCAGACGTACAAACTCTTCAGCCAACATTTTGGCGGCGCGCGAGATCTGATCCTTAGGGGCTTTGGATAGTCAGTCGGTGGGCGGGTAGGCTGCTGCGCGGCGGTGACATACGGATGATGAGCGAAATCATGGATGTGCCATTTCCACGGGCGGCCTCGAGACGCTTGATGAGCTTCTTGACCTTCCAGATCTCAATGTTCTTCTCGGCCTCGTTGGGCTGCTCGTTCTTCCCGGACATGGTCGCGGTGGGTTGGTGGTTGTGCTGGAGAGAGAGGGTGGGGTCGAGAGATTTTCTCGAAGGGCGAGGGGCAGGCGAGCAGGCCAGCAAGCGACGACGTAAGGGCACGCACGGCGACTGCAAGCACGCGTTCGCAGAGTGCAGATGGCAGCAGCAGAAGGGGGTGTTTGCAGCCGACGGGCGTGGGTGAAGGAAAAGATTTGCGTCTTCGGGCTGACTGTGAGCTCACACCAGGCCGCAGATCTGGTCTGGCATCATCATCAGGCACACACACACACACTCCCATTTACTGGTATAGAGAGTACACATAGGCAGCACATAAATGAGTATGGCAACGGCGATTGGCTCGGTTAGCTGGCCAATCAGCGGACAGCGGGCGCGAGGCTGCCGGCATCCGCGTTATCAGCCATAGCTCCCCCCCGTGCCATCACCCTACCTATGACGGCTACGGTGCGGGGGCCATGGATCCCCTCGTGATAGCGATCCATGGCTCCAGGTTTCTGTGTCTTTCGATGCTGCGCACCAGGGCTCCATGCCTTGGTCGGCGCTTCTTTATATAATGCCATCCGTCATGGCTCCGTCGTGGTTATCTACTGCATCCACAGGGTGCAATCTCAACCCGACGATAGCCAGGTATTGATTCAGTAGTTCCCGCCCCTGCAGGGTTTCGATCAAACCAGTTTTTTTATATCAAGCCTCGTGCTCCACTTGCGCCCCTTGATCGTGTGTCTCTCTTCCCGTCATTGCCGGCACTCACCATGGACATCAGAGGAAAACAGCCCTCGACTTGGGACGACTACGATGGCTCCGCCAGGGCCTCAATCGACTCGGACACGGGCAGCCGGGTGCAGTGGGACCGCCTCGAGAGGCGCCCCAGTGGCGAGAGCAACGCGACAAACGGAGGTCGCTGGTCAGGAGCAGCTACTGAATTGCGGCGACGGCGGTGAGCATGGCTCCTAATCTTGGTGTTGCGCGTGACGAAGCTAACAGGGTCTCCCAGATCTTCCATCGGCCAGCAGTTCGGCGCACTGGGCGACGCTGGCGGCGTAAACAGCATCAACAATTTCGCGCGATCATGGCAGCGTGCAGCAGGCTTCTTCGAAATCACTCCCGTGCGACCCTCGTTCCGCGTTGAACACGACGACGGCGATAGCGACGGCGCCGACGAAGATGGCGACACAGATGCGGCTGATTTTCCGCGTAGCGACCTGCCAACTCCCGTCGCAGACCAGCGATCAGCCCTGCGCAATGCCCTGCAGACCGAGGGAAGGCGTGCATCAGACAATGCGGTCACGGATGAAGAGCAGGGCGCAACCGAGCAGACCCAGCTGCTGCCCCATACAGTCGAGCAGCGCCTGAGAGGAAGGGGATCTAGCATATTCCAAATCGAGCCCTCGCTATCGTCGCCCTTTGGAGCAAGCTACGGCACTGCTTACGGTAGTTTGAGCTCGCGAGTCAACGAGTCCTCGATGCGCCATGCCGGGCGATTGTTCACCGAGCAGCAGCTCAAGGGCGCTACAGAGCCCGAACAGGAGCGAGAGCCGCTTCTTGTCAAGCAAGTCGAGGAGGATGGCCATATCATCAACGTGGTTGTTGGCCAATCTACCATGCCCCAGACCATTTTCAATTCGGTCAACGTGCTGGTGGGTGTGGGACTGCTCACCCTTCCTCTGGCGTTTAAGTACTCGGGTTGGTTGATCGGTATGGTTTTCCTTGCCTGGTCAGCCGTTGTCACTGCCTATACTGCGAAGCTGCTTGCCAAGTGTCTGGATGTCGATGGCTCCTTGATCACCTTTGCCGATCTGGCCTACGTTTCATATGGCTCAAAAGCCCGAGTGGCCGTCAGCATGCTGTTTTCTCTTGAGTTGCTCGCAGCTTGTGTTGCACTTGTGGTCTTGTTCGCTGATAGCATGGACGCGCTGATTCCTGGATGGGATATCTTGCAATGGAAGATCTTGTGTGGTGTGATTTTAATACCACTAAGCTTCCTGCCGCTCCGCTTTTTGTCATTTACATCTGTTTTGGGTGTCATGTCTTGCTTTGGAAGTGAGTAAATGACTGTGCATCCCTAAATCTCGTTTGCTAACACCCGCTAGTTACCATTGCAATCTGGATCGACGGTCTTGTGAAGCCAGATGCCCCCGGCTCCATTCGCCAGCCAATGACACAGTACCTGTTCCCCGACAACTGGCTTACCGTTCCACTCTCCTTTGGTCTCCTCATGTCTCCTTGGGGTGGCCATTCTGTGTTTCCAAATATTTACCGCGACATGCGACACCCCTACAAGTACCGCAAGGCTGTCAACGTGACCTACATCTTCACCTACATTATCGACGTCGGAATGGCATGCGCTGGCATTCTCATGTTCGGCGATGGCGTCTTGGAAGAAATCACAAGCAACATCTTCTTAACAGAGGGTTTTCCTAAGGGCATTTCAGTATTCATCGCCATCTGCATTGCCATCATCCCGTTGACCAAGATCCCATTGAATGCTAGACCCATTGTAAGCACCCTCGAGCTTCTCTTTGGCCTAGACGCACGATCTCTGGCCATGTCACCTTCTATGGACGGCATGGACGGACTCACCCGGGGATTCTTCAAGATCTCTTTACGCATCATCACGATTGTTTTGTTTGTTTTCATCGCTATCGTTTTTCCCTCCTTCGATCGCATCATGACACTTCTCGGAAGTGTCGCTTGCTTTAGCATTTGCATCATCCTACCGTTGATGTTCCATCTGAAGCTTTTCGGAAAAGAGATATCCAGTGGAGAAAAGATGATGAACTGGGTGCTGATCATCGTCAGCGCCATAATGGCCGTTGTCAGTACTGTGTTTGCTTGCATACCTAAAGAGCTCCTTGAGTCATAGGTACACAAGATGTTGAGGATAGAGATGCGAAAAGTCTATACGTGGCAGTGTTTTCTCAGTATGCATAAAGCACGATATCCGGGAGAATTTGGCGTTTTTGAAGCATTTACTCTAATTTCCTTCTAGTCATGAACTACGTAATTCACAGTATACATCATTGGATGTTGGGTTTCACAGGCTTTGCAGATACAACTGTTACCTTATTCTGTCACATTTCCTTTCACCCCAGAGTCATAGCTCTGGATTGCTTTCACTTTTCACCGCACCACCTCATGCCTGTCATAAAAATTAGATTGTTCAAGTAAAATAAAGCAGCTTTCTCCTCCAGTTGTCCCTTCATTCATTTTGATTCAGTCGCACGCTACTTCCATGAGGTCGCTCTTTCTAATTGCATGTGCAGCATGCGCCACGTTTGTACACGCCCTTGTCGTCCCGGATGTCCCTTCCGAGCTTGTCACGAGCGCTACCAACAACACCCTTCCAAGTGAAAATCCTCTTGAGGAGTGGTCTGGACCAGCAAAGGCGGCTGCCGACGATCCATGGACGCTCTCCGTTGCTCGAGGCGCAAAGCTGTTGCAAGGCATGAAAAGCAACGATGCGGAAGCAGCGAGCCTCTACGGCTTAGAAACCACAGCGGAATCATCCTTTGACGGTAATCTCATCGAAAAGTTGCGCGAATGGGGCTACAATGATAACAACGACGCTCTAGCCAGGCAAGCAGACCCAGAGTGCAACTTCGACAGTCGCGATGGCCACATGCTTAAGAAAGCCTTTAAGGACCTTGGAATCAGGACAAACAGCAAGGGCAAAGGGGGGCCAAACCAATGTTTCGCAATTGAGCATGCCAATGGTCCAGCTGTCAGGTTGGGAGACAATGGAAAGATCCCCGAAAAAGCCGACCAGCGGTATGAAGTTTGTGGAAAAGAGTACAGAGTCACAAACGCTGAGCATACAATTGGCGTCAATGCAGAAGCTGGAGCGGTATATGCTATGCAGCTTTCCTCGGCTGCCAAAGCAGCGCACAGACTATGGAAAAGAGCGCCGCTCACTGAAGAACTTCCAGCTATACGTAGCGTCTCTGACATTGCATGGGCGTTTTGGAATAGAGCACATGATTTGCAAGGCCTGGACAACATCAAGTATCTCTTTGTTGCCATGATCATCAACAAAGAAACCAATCAACATGTCAAGCGCGCTTTGGGTACGCTGTCACCTCCAAAAGACGAACCAGATGGATGGCCAGGTCACGACTTCAACATGGATACGGATGAAGGAAAAGCGCTACTCGGCTCGCCGGTTGGACGCTGGGCAGGATATTTCTTGATGCAGCATAAAAGGCAGCTAGGAGGAAACAAATACATAGCCAACGTGAGGGTGTTCAAGAGTGAGAAGGAAGGTAGTTGGCCGTACTTCTTATTTCATGTCGCCGGCCCTGGTACAGCTCCTATCTGGAAGCGGAGCGCCAGCACGGATTTAGGAGAGGGATATGTAGACGCAGGACCAAAGGTTATCATGAGAAGTGAGAATGGAAGACATATGGTTAGAGAGCATGTTATTCGGGCTGATAGGTAACCCCACCGGTGTCTGCGCATACCTTGATCACACTTCTTTCCTACTCACCATTCAGAGTCAAAATCTCATAATTTGTAATAAAATGTTTAACATTTCATCTCTTCCACACATGAAAAATGTCAAATCGTAAACACCCCCGCTGACTAACACCCGTCGCGCCCCGATCGGCGCAACCCCAAAAACCGCCGACGTCCCCCATCAAGTACGTCAAGAAATTCTGTCAAACAATAGCGACCGCAAATCCACACACCCCCAACCCACCTCCGCATACCCGCCTTACCCAAACAAAAAAACAAACAATCGCCTTGCGCAAACTCCTTCGTTTCGCAACTACCCCCACAAAACTCTTTCCGAAACCACCAAAGCAACGAAAGAAAGAAAAAATAAAATCAACCATGGACTCCTTCGGCAGCGGCCTCGGCAACCTCGATCTCTCCAAGCTATCCGACCGCGACAAGCAAGAACTCCAGCAATTCGCCATGAACGAAGGCCAGAAAGCTAGAATACAATCTTGTACGTTCCTCTTCCTCCTCTCCTCTCCTCTCCTCTCCTCTCCTCTCCTCTCCTCTCCCCTCCCTCTCGCAACCCCACTCCACTCCCTTCCCTCACTCTGAACCATCAATTGCGCAAGGAAAAATGCTAACAGAAAAAACAAAACAGCCATCCACTCCCTAACCGACACCTGTTTCCGCAAATGCATCCCCACGGGCACTGTTAAATCCGGAAAGCTAGACAAGTACGAAGAGCCGTGTATGCGACAGTGCGTAGATCGGTTTTTGGATGCGAATTTGGTGGTGCTGAGGGAGTTGGAGAGGTTGAGGGGGTAAAGAGAGGGAGAGAGATTTGTGGACTGTTGGAGGGGAGAGTATGGGAATTGGAGCGGGAGGGACAGTGTACGATAGGACATGATGAGATATGAATGGGGGCATACGACATGGTTGTTACGTCAATCATCTGTAGGATATATCGCAATGCTGAGTAGGGATTACGCTGGAATGGCATGCTAGGCAGAAATGCATGTATGAACGCATTGAATGAACGAAGCTACAATGAACTTGGAAAAAAGAACGGTAAACTTTTCGATACTGGCAAAAAAAGGTAACATCACAGCTCCGACAATCAAACATCAAACATCACACATCATTGTCAGCTGCAAAAAAAAATGTTTGTTTCAGGACCAAGTTGAGTATTGGCGCCATGCGGAAATTTGTTTCATTCGAAGTCAACCTTGACTACGTTTATCCCATGAACGCCCGCCATGCATATCACATCGCTTTTTTCCTTTGCCGGGTATAACCAGGACCCTATCATGACCATCCCATGCCCTCTCTTCGTACAAACACCGCCTCATTTAAACAATGGCGAGCTTGGTAGCCGCAATGTCGAGAGCGTCGACATCGGCAGTGAGGCGGCAGAAAGCCTTCTTTGAGCCGTCGGGGCGGATCAGGGTGTTGATCTTGACGCAGCTGACGTCGTACTGCTTCTTGAGGGCGGCGGCGATTTGGCGCTTGTTGGCCTTAACGTTGCAGATGAAGACAAGGGTGTTGTTCTCCTCAATCTTCTTCATGGCCGACTCGGTGTTGAGAGGGTGGATGAGAACCTTCTCAGCGTCCATGCGAGGAGCATGGGGGACCGACTTGCGAGGGTACTTGGGGGCGCGGGACAGCTCGAGGGTCTTGGGGCTGCAAAAAGTTGTTAACATATGAATCTCGAAAGTATTGCTCTAGGGCATACCGGTGGAAGCTGGTGCTCTTCCTGATGGCGCGCTTCTTGTTCGCATACGACTGTCATCTCGTTAATTGTGTCCGTCACACGAGAAGTACAGCCCGTCAGAGGTATATTTCTGACACGACTCAAGAGGATCAGGGGAGGCTTACGCCCTTAAGGGCCGCTTTGGCAGCGGCGTTGGCCTGCTTGCCGGTCTTGGTGGCGGCTGCAAACATTGTCAGCATTGAGCGCAAACTAAGGGGAACTGATCGAGGCGCATCTGCAAAGTTCCTTTGCAAAGGTCACGCTGCTAGAGTGCAGGCGTTACTTCGCAATGTGTACGTATGCGTGCTCGTTTCTCGATCTCGTGGCTGCGATATAGGCGTGAACGTACTCTTGGATGCTGGCTTGGGTCCCATTTTGGCGGTGTTGGTGGTCCTGGAGGTTAGTGTCGAGAGTCGCAATTCATTTTTGCGGCGGATGGCATGTCGGGTGCGATGGCTCGGCTAACTCGCGCTAGTGCTAGCGCCAGATGCTGCATCTCCAACTTTCAGCATGCTCTCATGCGAACCATGTGACTTGCGACGCAAACGCCATCATGGCTGTGAAAAAGCGCCAGAAGACTCTGTCGCATGGCCGGCCACCCATCAGCAAGCCGAAAGAGCGGATGACTTCTGAGCGATCACGGACCATCATTCGCACCCATCACCGCTTACAGAAGGAGCACGCAGCAGCCCTGAAGAAGGGAGACTTGTCGTCTGCAGAAGAGATTGCCCGAGCTATCGAAAAGAATGGAGGTATAAAAACGTATCAGGCGGCAAGTAAACAGGGGCAGGCAAAGGATCGGGGTGGTGATTCGAGCAAGGTCTTGGTCGAATGGCTGCAAAAATCGCACGTGCTAGGAGCAAAGGAGCGAGGTCACATCATTCCCAAACTTCGATGCCTGGAAATCGGCGCTCTTTCAACTAAGAATGAAATCTCCAAGTACTCCAATATTATCGATATGACAAGGATCGATCTCAACAGCCAGGGACCGGGTATAGAGAAACAGGATTTCATGCAGCGGCCACTTCCAACGACTGACAGCGAACGCTTCGACATCATCTCCTTATCGCTTGTACTCAACTACGTACCAGAAGCCACTGGCCGAGGCGAGATGCTGAAGCGTATTACCAAGTTTATGCGAAGGAATACTGCGAAAACGGACGATTCTCTGCTTGCACTACCAGCACTGTTTTTCGTTTTACCACTTCCGTGTATCGACAACTCCCGCTATCTGGACGAAGAACTACTTCTGCAAATCATGGACCGCATTGGCTTCAGGATGACGTTCAGCAAGAAGACGTCAAAACTATGCTACTACATGTTCGTTCTGACAGGGGAGCCTACTAAAGCGACCACGGAAAAGAAGAAGATACGAGATGGCCCAGGCATGAATAACTTCTGCATCATTGTCGAATGAACATGAGGTGCTAGAACGCAAGGGATGTAATATGCCAATACTACAAAAGCGGAGACTATAGAGTACCATGCAAGTCGGGGTCGAATAGGAATCCAGAGCGACGAACACTTACAACTGGTGGCTCTATTTTCACCTTGGCGCCACGCTGAATATACCATCAACATGCGGCGCCTACACTGGGCATCACGGAAAAGAATGCCGTTATTCTGTATAAGGAGAACACTTGGTTGCCATAAAAGTACGTACGTGTGTACATCAGGAATTGCTGATATCCTGTTTGGACCCAATCTTATCCCACAGCAGGCACTGTCATCGGGATCTTCCGTGGTATCCTAGCTTTCTCGCAAATAAGCACGATCAATTCAACCTGCGCCACGCACCGCATTGGGACGTTTGCAGCTGGCAAAGTGTTGTTTTGGTCTTTCTAGCGGGCCTAACATCTCAGCAGAGCAGAAGTTGTGCCGAGACCCGCCATGATATCCACCCAAGAACATACAATTCAATATCCACCGGCAATGTGCGGTATTATTTGCAATGGGTCGGCTCTAGACCCGTCGGTAGTAACTATATATGCGGTTTCGTCGTTGCGCCGATAAAGCTCCGAAGGCTGCTTACAAGGTGTTCGTTGGAAACGCCTAGGTTCTCAGGCACATGTTGTACCTGGATGGCACCCGTACTGCATGCGCATGTACAGCGAACATCACTTTTCGCAACACCGCCGCGATGAACTGCAACAGGTTGCTCGTCGCTTTATGTGCCGAGAAGTTGGCTGCCGAGCAAGGAATATGAAATTCTGCTCAATGTGTTGCCGCCTCGTTATCTCGCTGCTGTTTGATTTTCCTTTAGCGCATCCTTCATCCCAGCACCTCATCACCCACGGCCCCCCAGTTACCATTGCGCCAAGCATTACTCAAGCCTTTTTCTGAAACAACCTTAGCTCGTCCAGATCCCAGACACCGGCTTGTCAGAGTATATTTCGGGCACGGGGACAGCTTGCAAGAGGTACAATGCGCTGCTCGTGCGACAAAATTACCCGTCTTTGGCAGGTTGAACAAGGGAACATCAAACAGGAGATGAGCTTATTTCCAGTCGCTTGCGGGACCAAATCTCCACAAGGGAGTTTGTCCGAGCGCGTTGCCGCTGCCCTGCTCTCGTGAAATGAGGTGTCAGCCGGACCTGGGTGTTTATGTACCTGGGCAGGGCGCTCTCTGTTGGTCGAGTTTTCATTTATCTCGTCCGCCTCGTGGCAAAGCCAAACTCTAGTCATTCTTTCTGCTCCATCCAGTCACTCTTTTCCAAGCCGCTGCGCTGCTGTCACTCATTACCTGAACTCGTTGATACGATTTATCACATTCCTTGTCACAACTAAACTGTCGACTAGAAGTCAGACACGATGAAGTCCACTATCTTCTCCATCCTCCCCATTGCGGGCCTCGCTGCCGCCGAGTCGTACTGCTCTGTCCAGACTTACACTAAGACCGAGTACGAGACTGTGTATGAGACTGCTACAGCCGCAAAGGTTGCAGATGTCACGGCCACCAAGTCCAGCACCTGCTCAAGACCTACCGTCACTGCCACCACCTATGAGAAGGTCTACGTCACTGTCACTGCACCTGGTTATGGTTCAATGCCTCCAAAGCCTTCGACCTCGACTAGCACCGTCGAAGACTACGTCACTGTGACTGTCCGCCCATCAGCTTCGGAATGTGCAGCCACCCCATCCTCCGCTCCACTCGCCTCTGCATCACCCTCCCCTTCCGAAGCTCCCCTCCCAAGTTTCCAATTGGCGTCCAGCCCGGCAGCAAAGGCCACCTCTGAGAGCAAGACCCCAGTTGCGTATCCCACTGCTGCCTCATCCACTGTCTCTGCGGCTGCTGCGGCCGTTTCCCCCTCCGCCTCCGCCTCCGCCTCCCCAGCTCCCACATCCTCTTCCGCAGGCTCCAAGCGCGGCGAGGCTACCTTCTATGGCGGTAACCTCGATGGTGGCATGTGCTCCTTGACAGGATACACGCTTCCCAGTGGTCTCTTCGGCACTGCGCTGACCGACTCTGACTGGGATTCCGCCAACGCTTGCGGTACTTGCGTTAGCGTCACTGGTCCTTCTGGCGACAAGATCACTGCCATGGTTGTCGATCAATGCCCTGGGTGCGGTCCTCACCACCTCGACCTCTTCCCCGATGCTTTCAAGAAGCTCGCTGATCCCTCCAAGGGAATAATCCCCGTCTCTTGGGAGGTTGTTCCTTGCGGCATCACCACCCCCATTGTCCTCAAGAACAAGTCCGGTACCAGCGCCCACTGGTTCTCCATGCAAGTCATGAACTCCAACGTCCAGGTCACCTCTCTCGACGTCTCGACCGACGGCGGCAAGACCTGGAAGGGTACCAAGAGGCAGCCTTACAACTTCTTCGAGAACTCGGCTGGCTTCGGTACCGACTCCGTTGACGTCAAGATCACCAGCTCCGGCGGTCAATCTATCATCGTTAAGGGTGTCAGCGTTGCCGCTAACACCACAAAGACTTGCAGCAGCAACTTCGCTTAAACGAAGTGACCTGTATTGGGTGCATAGCTGGGCCCAAAAAGTTGTAGCAGCCTTTTCTCTTCACGATCGGATTTAGACGACCTTTTTTTGTGACATATATTCTTTTCTTTTACATTTAGCCACTTTTTTTCTTGACTCAAAGCCTTGATCGGCCTTTGGTCGTTATTTTCTATTCATAAATCGTATCTATTCTTCAGACTCGGTTGGGCCATGAAACGCTTTGCTGGGTCAGCTTCACGAATGGAATTCTTATTTGCAATGTCTTGCTTGCCCCTGTTCTTCTCTGAGTGTACACAATATCAGATTTCAAAAAGCATTTCTTCAAAGCGATGGCGTCAAACCTCGATATCTATATGTACATGTACTTGTAAGACTAGCCACTACCGACGCACCCCCCAAGGTCCTTTGATCAATCCAAAAAGAAGAAATTCAATACTTCATCACCCTCGCTCCTAACCCGCCAAACAACAAAACAATCAAACCCTCTCACCCCTCCCGTATCCCCAATCAAACACCGGACATTACAACCCCGCATTCATTCCCTCCAACTCCAAAATTACCTATAAAACTCGCATACTATACCTGTAAGCAAATCCCGGGACAACTACCATCAGCCCTGTACGTCATTTTCTTTTCTGCAGAACGGGGAAAAGTAATGGGTTAGCCCATTGCCCCGCTTATCCCGTTACCTCCCGCTCTTTCAAATTTAATCTGCCTGTCTTTTGACTTTATACGTCGGAAACGCTACGCTAGATTTCGCCTTTTTTTTTTTTTTGCAAAAGGGGGGTAAATGAGAGTATCATGGGGTCTCCGCCTCCCCACTACCAAAATGATTTTTCCAAGGGAATTCTTTTGAGGGGGAGGGGGAAGTGAAGGCGTTTTTTGCTAACAATAATTGGGGAATTCTTTTTATTGGTTGGGTGCCGGGGCGGCTCAGATCGGAAATTAGGGTTTTGTAAGGGCAGGCAGGAGGGGGAGGGGGCTAGGGCGGGTACTTGGGGGCCAAGATGAACGGTTGGGTCCCGTGTGTTGTCTAATATTGCGTACGGGGATTAGAGCGCGGGTTGTAGCGTATTGGTTAGTTTGGTTTTTGGATGTTGTCGTAGTCAGGTGGAGAGTGTGGGGTTGCTTCTATATTTTTCTTATCAGGGGAACTAAGTATGGGGAGAGAGGGACTTGGGTGTATTAGAGTAGATGTGATGTTTTTTTTTGGTTTGACTAAGAAATGGACGTAGGCATCAGGCAATAGAGCGATTTTTAGAGTAACTTCGTGCGTGAATGGTTAGACATTGTACTAAAAGTGGATATGCGACTTGTGAGAATACGTATGTATGTAAAGGCTTGATATCCTATCTAAAAGCCTCCTATAGCGCATGCGGACGGGTAAGGTTCAAGGCTTACAGTGCTTTAACACCGCCTAGTCTCACCTATTCGTAGGGACTGTCTTCCAAAGTACTGTTTTTTTTTTCTGAAATAGCCGCTCCATCGGTGAAGGGACTGCGACTCGAGATGGTGAGTTACTATGGATCAGGGGAAGTGAAGGAAAAGAGAATGTTAGCTGAGGAAAGGACAAGAGGGAACGGAACACATGTCATCCACAAAGCTTGAATTGACCGCTGGTAAGCGTAGAAAGAAAGCACGAACAGCTAACTGACAGGAAACGGACCCATGTCAAGCCAACCCAGGCGGCCCGTCAAGTCACATCACATGTATTCCATTCTGCTACAAAAACTGACGTGACCCCTTACCCAATCACGACATGCAGAACGAAACACGAGAACGACACACATCTCATACGAAGTCGATGGTGCAATCCAGCTTACGCGTCCCAGCCACACCACCAAAAAAATCACTCAGTCAGATAAACAGAGGGCAAACAAGTTCCAGATGATGAAAAACATTCCATTAATCCATGCACCCTATATACATGCACCTTCTCTCTCTCCATTACCCTTCCCCCCACGTATTCAACAAACAACNCCCCCCCCCCTTTGATACCATATCATACAATGCTATCCCCCCTCTTCTAGAATTGTAAAATAAGAGAGAAAAACGGGTGAATTGTGTATGTGTTTACAACAGGCCCAAAGCAGCGATACCAATAGCACCGATGCCGACGGCAACGCCGGCAGACATGGTGGGGGCAGGGTTGCTAGTGTGTGTGCTAGTTTGGGTGCTGGTGCTGGTGCTGGTGACGACGACGGCCGTCTTGGTGTCAGTTGCAGTGTTGACTTTGGTGCTTGTGATGGTAACGTCGGCGGCGGTGGCGAAGGCCGCGAGGGCGCAGACGAGAGAGACCTTGGTGAAGAGCATTTTTGCGTTGTTGTTGTTTTTGTTTGAAAAGAATTCAAGAGAGTGAATGTATGTGTGAGATTGAAAGGGTTTTTTTGTAGTGACTGGAGGATGGATGATGAGTTGGATGGCTTAGATATTTGCCTGAGCATGAGAAGGGGGCCCTTCTTATACCATGATTTTTTTATTTATTTATCCAGCACATATTTCCTGTTCTGTTTCTTGCTGGGGCCTTGTTTACTGCATTGCGCTCCCAGTACCAAACGCGAAGCCGGAATATCCGGTTCTGCCCCAAGCGCTTGTTGAATCATGCCCAGATCGTCGAGCCTAACGATGTAATTGCTTGTTCCACCCAAAGTGTGGCGGTGCCTAGACTGGCCCGCGGAGCTTAGTATGCTTTAGCATGGCGCCAGCCGAACAGCCGAGCGATCGTGCTGATCACAGAAAGCTTGTCCTATGTACCCCACAGCCTAGCGGTCAACTGTGTGGAGTGGAATCTGGGTGAGTTTGGCCATGTTCTTCATGATTCTGTACATACATGCATACAAACAAACAGACATCCAGAGGTAAGTCATCCAACGGCTCGGCCATAGATGCTTGTGAGGCTAGAAGATTGATGTGTGGCTAGTTGCAGTGGCGCGGCCGAATATACGCCTTCTGGCTTTGAGCCATTTCCGGGCTACATTGTCTAGCGGTACGATTGGTAGAACGATGCTTAGTCGAATATCGAACATGTGATGTGTCCCACGGAGACGCGTCTTCGGGTATAACCTGTTTCTGCACAAACACAACAGCACTTATGCGATCCAAGCTTAGTACGCTTCATCGGGTGCAGATAGTCCACCAGTACAGTATTTGAGTGACAGCAGCTTGTACAATATCTGGAACGGGTCGTTAGTAGATTCCGTTTCAATGACATCTAGTTGCAGAAGCCACTGTTCTAGTCCCACTCAAACTACTGTTGCGTATCGACACGATGGGTGGTTAATCTGAGAAGTCAAAGGTTCGACCGAAGCATGGCTTGTGCAGGACATGATGCTGTCGGCTTCCACGGCGATGAGCGGAGCGTTGTTGCTTTTGTTTCATAGGCTAAGGCGTTTATGCAAACAGCATAGTGTCTGTGGCTTGATTGGTTACCTTCGTCATGGGAAGGTCGAACAAGGCTTGGGCCGTGCGAGCAGCGTATAAGCAATATCGTGGCGCAGCAGTTACGTAGCTGTGGCGGGGCGAGTAGCATAATACGAAATCGAAAATGCCGCTCGAGCCGTGTATAGATATACGCCAACCTAAGCCATATATAAATGCGGTTGCCGGTGCAACATCAGTTCCCACTTTGTCAGGCAATTTTCCCGAAATACGTTCGTATACTGCTGGGTGTCGTTGTATTAGTGATGAGGTTGAGTGTACTGTTGAGCCAGGCTTTTGGAGTTACATGCATCCGACCATAGCGGGACAATCCCTGTAACGGAACAAAGTTTATTCCTTCGGTCCATACATACAATCATGTGAAGTAGGTTCTGGCTACTTGCGCAACGTTACTGTGCCTTCCGTTCATGGCAAAGAACGCTGTTGCTCTAAAAGAAACGAAATAAGTACACTAGGCTCCAAACATTGAGTGACGTAAATTCTTACACATTATTTCTCGTAAACAGAGTCACCCTCAACGAAGCTTGGAGATATCCCCTTTGTTTCTGCCTTCCAGAATGTCGGTAATAGCCTCACCATCCATGATTCCATGCACATAACTAATGGCCCAGTCAGTGACGGAAAATAATACGCAGTGAGGTGACAGCTCACCATTCTCCCACCATCGTATATGTACCCTGGCTTTGATAATCGGTACGCCTTAGTACATAGGGCACTTCTCCGCCCAGTAATACACAGATCTCGTCGCTTTCGGAAGCGGTCGGTGGCAGTAAGCAGAAATGACCCTTCTTAGTTATACAAAACCTTCGGCTATTCAAGCAAAGTTGTCGTTTCTCCATAGCTTGCAACAAATCCTCCTCCTCCTTCGTGGTTTTGGGTGGGATGTATTGTGCATCTAGGGGGAGTCGCTGTGCAGGGATCCATCCAGCATTTTCCTCGAAATGAAGCCCTTCGATCTGCCGGTCGGTCAAAATTGTTCTCCAGAAGGCATCCTCTTTCGCATGGGGCGAATGGTACGTTCTATTCAGAGTGTTCATAGCCATTTTTTTTCCAGCGGCCAAGGATCGGTCTATTTGCGCGGCCAGCAAGACCGATATCATCTGGGGAGGGGTAAACCCATCCGCGTTGACTGACCACGTCAAACAGACAGCCTCGGAGAATTAATGTACGAGAGTCATCTCCAAACTGAATAGCAGAAAATGACCTTGACCAGTCTGGCCCAGCTGTCATGAATATTCGCTGCGACTCTCCTACATCTTGGTTCGGCAGAAAAGAGGAGACTGGTGTGATAGATCTCGAACCAAAATCGGGAACCCAAGATGGAAGACGTGAATTCCTAGTCTCATAGTACTCTCCAGTCATCCAGCGAAACAAATCCAGGCCTTTGTCTTCCAACAAGAACGAGGAGACGAGCGATAGGTATATATCCTCGAATGGTTTATTGTAGTCTACCTGAACTCTGTGGTCACCAAGAAGGCCTAAAAGGCCATAGATCTTGTCCCTAGGATCGGTTACCGATCGATATTTGAATGACCATGGGAGATTTGACAGTTTGAGTAGCTCAGGCGGGGAAGAACTCATTTGACGTGCTTGGCGCAGTCTTGTTAATGCCTCTGCAAAGCCAGAGACGAGCATGCCGAGGGTACGAAGTGCAGTTCTTTGAAGTATATTCAACCTCCAATGCAGCGGTTCGTGCCCGATATTCATCCATGCTGTGGTGAAGGAATGGAATATCGACCAGGGAACACGCCGAGAGCCGCACAAAACGAGGACATCCGGAGCTAGTGCCACTTCTTGGACTATCCACATTCTTTTCCACCAGGAACGGGAGAACAGGTGAACAAGGGACATTATTCGTCGAAGAAACTTGTCGGTCTCAAGGTGTAACAGCCAGATTGACTCCTTATCAAATTCAGCAACGGCGGCCAAGTATGGAAGGAAGTCAAGAGCTACCCCACTATCGAATATCTCTTCACCAAGCCAAGCAATTACACTTTCTGCTCTAGTATATATGTCTCCCATTAGAGGTACTTGGACGCCTTTCTCGTCCTCGTTGTTTTGGTTAATGCATATTGCATCGATCCAAACGGTTCTTGTACTTGAAGATTGCCGCAGGCGACGCAACGCGTCTCGAAGGTTTGGTCGAATGTGGAAGGGTAAACTGTTCAATGATATCCGGCATGTACTCTCCTCAACACCCCAAGTATATGAGAGAGCTTCGTATGGTGGTGCTGAATCTAACTGATAGTCCCGAAGCCTGCAATGAATATCGGCGGATAGACTTTTTCCAGGAATGAGCTCTAGTAATCTGAAACTATTGGGTTCCAGAGGGCGGTATTGGAAGCCACGTCGGCATCGTTTCTGACTTGGCGACATGTTTAAGCGAAGAACTTATCGACGAATTCCTGGACATAGACTGGAAGAGCCGCTGGTGTGGGCAATCTAAGTATTAGAATTTTGGTAAAACATGTTGCTTATTCCATGGTGAGGAGTTGTTGAAGGTGACAAGGAAATCAGAAAACGGCTGCCTGCTTGACAGGGAATAAGAGTTGTCCAAGGCTAGGTGATCAGCGGAGGCCGTAGCCGCCAGCTACAGCGCGTACAGCTTCCTCATAGATGTCTCAATATGGTATTACTTCTGAGTGGCGCTTGAGATGTACTTCCGACCAGCCTAATGCATTTCAAAGGTCATACCGTTAGTGCGGAGAAACCACCAGGATACGCACCCTTTATCTTGGTACAGCCTCGTTAGGCTGTAGTTCATAACTCCGCTATTTCGATTATTCTCTAGAACTACCAAGTTTTTGAGGAATACGTCTCGCCACGAATTGGTATGAGGAGTCAGATGAAAGTCGGGTGTTCCGTTGTGGTCGAATCTTCTTCTCGAAGGGCAATCACGTGATTTAGTCGCTCTAATGCTCCTTCCCTCGTAAGCACGCAGCGGGTAAACTAAGCGTCGATGCTACCATTGCCATACTCATTACACACATTACTCAAAAGCCTTTGTAGACATTCACATCATACCATGGTAGAAATCATCTTACAAGGCTGTTTTATTTTTTTCCTATAAATATTACAGTCATACACTGTATCTGGGTATCATTTCGTACATGGTTGTAGGCACAGGCCCAGACCATATGTGTCATGTGCAGTTCCTCAAGAGACATTATAGACTACGCTATCCCATTTGACACGATTGTCTAATCCTTGGTGCAAATATAAATGTTGACAAGAGACGGATAGTCATGTCGTGAATAGCAAAAGCTTTGCAGTTTACCGTGGTTGAACAGCGGGAAAATATCGAGGACCCGAATAGCCGTAGAACTGAACACTCTCAATGTCAATGTTGCCGTCACGTTTGGGACTCCAGAATTTGAGTAGAACATGCCTCCCGGAACTGCATAGCCAGCGTCAGCATGGTTCATCTTGACGTATTTGTTTTCAAACTCACATGGCTGGGTGGAACTTGATAGTGATCTTGTTCTTGTTCTTTGCAATAAAAAAACGTGCATGCGGAGCAATGGGTGGTTCAGCATCTGTGGTGCGCTCGGATGGCTCGATGCGACTAGGTGCAGTGATGCGTGACGCACGAATTGGCTCCATGTACCGCTCTCTCCGTTCTCTCCATTCGCTACCGTACTGACTGTATCCCAACGTGGGTGGTCCACGGATAGATGCCGGACGCGAAACTGTCTCGTCATCTTCGTCGTCGCTCTCTGGGTGCCAACGACTCTCTCTTCGTAGACGGTCTGCCATGATGGCAGCACTAGGAAGTTCTTCGTTAGAGTCCGACTCGTCATCTTCGCTAACCGCTGTTGTGACGGTGAAGGGTGGCGGGGTAGGAGCCGAAATGCCAGCAGCAGTGCTGTAAGAATCATCTGCTACATGGTCACAGTTGTCGGCTTCGGCCTCGTCTTCATGTTCGACCATCTGACGCAATATGCGTCGACGGTCTGAGTCCGAGCGCAATGAGGATATCAAGTTTGCGGATTCGGCGTTTAGCCTTTCACTGCGGAGACGAAGATTCTCGATGCGCTCCTCCATGTCTTCTTGAGTGCCTTGGCGGGAGTACTGCCATACGGACGGGTCTTCAAGGGCCTCCCGCAGAGATATCTGCTCGTTGTCTTCGTTGGGCAGGCTAGGCGTGGGGGACATAAGGGGGGAGCGATTATCATAATGCAAACT